CAACCGGGTGTCAATATTTCTTCATGTTTATCGTTATACCAACCACTCAAATCACAAGTAACCAATGATCTCATGTTCTGGCCAATATCAGGAGATGAATTTTTACCTTCTAATCCCGAGTCTATTGTTTCGAGTGGAGGTGTTGATCCAAATATTAACGTTCTATTGGGAACTGTTGGTAATGAAGGAGCTTTCATGTTGATACTCAAAGATCCGATTACTTTCCATCCAATTAATCCATTGAATTTAACTCTACCTCATGCAAAGTATATCTTTGGAAAACTTTTTGGTAAATCGCTGATAAATTATTATTCTGATAGATATTTGGCTAATGTAGATCCAAATGATTCTGATAATATACGATTAGCTGTTAGTCAAGCTCTAGGAGATACAATTCTCACTTGTCCGACTTATGCTTTCGGTAGAGATTTAGTCAATTCTGGATCAACTAATGTATATGCTTACTATCAATCTCAACGACCATCTCAGTCACTGCTTCCAATTGCAACGCCAAGTAAATGGCTACCTGCAAGTCATGGTGATTGTATCCCAATGGTGTTTGGTCTCCCTCTTTTGAGACCCAAAAGTTACACTACCGATGACACAATATTGTCCATGATCATGATGGACACTTGGGCTACTTTTGCACGTGGAGGGTAAGTTGAGATTTAGTTGATTAGTTGATACTTGCGCTTGAATATATGAATACTTGTTGAATATGATAAGTGTGATCATCGTATCTCATAATGAGCAAACATTGTATCGATATAAGTTGTGACTCCTGATAATTCATATCAAAGTTCATTCTATTTTTTTCAATCACAGTAAACCCTCATCAATTGGACAGCAGTTATGGTCACCTTGGAGTGACCATTCATATAAGACGATCGTATTAGATGCAAATAAAATTGGTCTAATGAATCTCAGCCCGTTGAATTTTGCTTCAAAAATTGGCCTTTCCCTCTCGTCAGTCGATATCCAATGGTACTTGAACCTGGTAAGACAATCAACAAACTAACTGATAATCGAACTCCATTTTCAATAATTACAATCTATTTTCTCTTATATTAATATCTACAGGAGTATTTTCCAAGATTGAAGATAATCAACATAGTGAACTTTAACTATCAACCATAATCAGTCCAAAACTGTCTCAATAATCTTACAGGTCGATAAACCAAACCTTTGAACATTTTCGACACTTAATTTTGATCAGTTAAACAATTGACTTTGGAAAACTTTTGATCAATTTACCCTAATTATTCAGAATTTCAATAAACTTTTAATGAATTTCCAATGACAGTTTCACAAATTTTTCTGGGATAACTGTTGACCAATGTGTCTTCATCCGCCTAATGGACTGGAAATCGTTCGGAGCCATTCCGTTTATTATCGTCAGTTTATACCCTGAATCTTTGACAAGGGTCAATATGTCGAAATATTAATTATCTCATTTGATTATGAACGATTGTTGATAAGTGCAAATGATCATGAAACATACTTGAGAAAAAAGACTCATTAATTTTTCAAATCAATTAATCAAAATAAATCAAAAGACGTACAATTGATTAGATTATCATAATACTAATTAATTGATAATAAAACGAATTGAAGAAAATAAGATAAGTTTAGTAAGTGTTGTAAAGTAAATCAAAGATATTTTTTAAAAGAACGTGAAGTTTGAATAAACTTTAATCCTTTAAAAGGATTTCTTTTACAAAGACAGTAGTATGAAACCATACGTTTCTGGACCGGAAGTAGAGAACTACTTCCGGAATACTAGTTCCATCCAAAGCGTATGGGTTCAATGGCGCTGTTTTGCTTACTCAAGTTTAGAATGGTTAAAGTTATTAACGAAAGTCGAAGTCTTCAAGATAATGGTTTGGTGTTTCAAAGATTCAGAGATGAACAATTAAATTGACTGTTTGGTTAATTGTAAGTTAAACATCACGAATAATAAACGATAGACCAGCAAAAAATATAGTCAACATGATTGTGAAGAGAGTTGAGAAAAAATTAGGACCAATTAAAGTTGATTTGAAAAATTTAAAGCCAATGTCATTACGAGTGACCCGATGGATGAACATGATCAACTGTGACAATAAAGAAAGAGAAAAATCAATCAAATCAAAAGCAAATTAGTTGTCACTTGAATTTACCTCAAACTTCATATCAGCTGATTCGTTGAAGAGCGTTAGTTTGTACAAATCATTGAGACAAAGATAAGATTTAATATTAATCTGAATTAAACTGAAAGTCATGTGCAGAATTACACTTGGACCCATGTAATGTGAGATTATTGATGATAAATGCCGATCGAAAATATAATCGTTGATGATTAGTTGGTAAGAAGCGCAAATGAGACAAATAGCAAAGTGAAGATAAACGATCGATACGAAAACATCCAAAGTTCGTGCGAGATAATCGGTTAATCTGATGGTCTCACTGTAAATACGACGAATCTTTTTTATCTCTTGCAAATTTGGACCTTTTTCAACTTGAATTGAGATCAAATGATTAATGTAATTAAACGAGGCTGTGATCAGTATCGTCGAATCGACAAGTAAACAGAAATGGAGACAGCAAAAAAATGTCACAATTAGAATTCGATAGATTAGTCTGTACATAACTTGAATGAATGAAATCCAATCAGTCGGAAGAGGAAGTTGATCTCTTATCATCCATGAGATCGCGATGATCAAGAAGAACATGAAAAATATGATCTTGAACCGAAGCCTTTTTCTAAACACGAAACTATTATTAAACTGGTTCGAAGGCAGTTCGATATTCAACCAGAGTTGATGAATTTCGTTCATTATTGAATCACGAAAAGTCCATTGGTGAGTAATAAGAATGTAGAATAGAATTATATCTTCAGCCAAAAATCTGATGAATAGAACTCGTTGAGAATCAAATGTTAATGTGAAATGGATAAATGTCTGATCGTAAATGGTTTGACCGATCAGAACCATTAGAATAATATTCCAACAAAGTTTTCTTTTCATTGAACATTTACTGAAAAAGGAAAACAATGGAAGATGCATTTGAACATAAGCAGGCGAAAAATTCTCATCCTGGTCCATCATAGAATCGACTTGAATTGAGAATAATTCAACAATTAGAAATCAGTTTACAGAGAGAATTTTAATCAAATCGATATTTTCACACTCTAAGATTGAGCCAGTTCACAGCAAGAAAATCAAGTGATTAATTGTCCTGATAAAGGTCAGTTGATTAAAGAATGGCCAGTTTGACGATTATCATTTAATTGATTTTTTTATTCAATAAAAATAGTAACAGAAAAATTTCATACAATTGGTTTAGCTCAACATTTGGAAAAACATTCAAACAATCGTTTTATAATAACAATTGCACTTAATTGTGAGACGTTTACTGGTTACTTTGATAGATGATTGAGTTGATTGTTCGTGGATCAATAACAGATCATTGGAAATACATTGTAATTAATTTGGCTAAACTATACTATAGGCACCTCTGTTGATTGTTCTGAATTTTTTGTCGTTATAGCCAATACTCATATGTGTACTATGAACTTGCGGAAATGTTTAGTTACAGGGCTTCAATAACAGAAATTTGCATTGAGCTCAATGGGATAATTCTTAATTTTGCTGAATGGGTACTCAATCAAACGTGGGGAGGCTATAGCATAATCTTACCATTAATTTAGTCATGAGATGAATGTACGTATAAAGCGTTTGGCATAAAATTAGGAAAGTATCAATAATCATTGCAAAAGTTGCGAAGTTAACAGTTAAGTAAATGGAATTGGCAGAGTTAAAATTTGGTTTGATTTTCTTACGTTAATCTAAAAAATATTGTCTTCATTTCCCTTCATTATGATGTAATTGTGAATCGTGATCAGAGTTTGACAAATGAAAACTGATACACCAGATCCACGAATTGAAAGAGTGAAATGTTCATCGGTGTCTCTCGATTTAAAATGGACAATTCTAACACAATGAGATATTTGTTTCAGATTTTCCTTAAAAATTTCGATTTCTTCATCAATCATAGTTTCATCTTCGACTAGAACTCGATAATTTGAATTGACCCAATAATCTGGAACTTTACTCGATTCAATGCCATCACAATATGTACTTTCTAGGACAAGGAATGTCATCAATCCTATTGGATCATTAGTAGAATCGAATAAATTATTTTCGAAATCAAATAGTTGCCGCTTTTTTTCGATTAAAGCAAAGATTTCATTCAATATGTCACAGGGAGATTCTTTCTTTCGCTTTTTATGAACATAAATATCTGCGATTTCTTTGAATAGAATTTCTAAAAAGAAAATAATTCTTCCCACATCGCTTTTGGTGGCATCCATCTTATTTAGATGCGAAGTACACCAATCTCGTAATCGTAACCAACATAATTCCGACGTTTTGTAATTTTCTGTCGGTGTTTCATTAAATCCTCCTTTCGATGACGGTGGGTCAATTTCGGTGACACGAGGTTCATCCGGTTTTTTATCAGATAAAGATAAAAGCTTAATTAGATGTTCGGAATACTTTCCTATCCAAGGGAGTCCATAGAAGCGCTTATTCAATGCACTCTTTTTAGTTGTCACTTCGTAATAAGCGGAAGCTTTTGCGAGAACAGCTTCTTCATATTCTTCACTTTCCTTGTCCATTCCATCAAATTCACTATAAAAAGTGTCTTCCATTTTTTTAACCAATAGATGATTAATTATGTAGATTATGGTTTCTTGGTGATCATTAGCACGTTTTAAAGGAACTTCGATGAATCTTTCGCAACCATAATTCCCTGAAATCTGGTTGAGAAGTTCAGCTTCTGTTGTGAATTCGCTCATTTCTAAGATACAAGTAACGATAGAACAATAAGATTCATAAGCTTCCGTCGCTTGTTTGATATACTTTTTTCTTCCGCTTCGTATGAGTCTAGGATTGCAAGTTTGTTCAATGAGTTTACGTTCAACTGTTCTCGCAAGGAAAAGTTTGTAAATGAAAACAATCCGATAGATATATCCCAAAGCTCTTGCAGAAAGATAACTTGGTGTGACTCCCAAATGCAAAGAATGATCAGGAGCTCTTTTGTATCTTTCTTCGTCCAATAAATTGGTAATGATTCCCGTCTTAACAGAATCAAGTGCTATGGAATATTTCAAGGCCAAATCTTTGCATATTTGGGATTTAATTCCATCGGAAAGCATATCAGCCCAAACAATATGCGAACTTGCAATTCGACCAACTACACCGTCTTGAATATACTTCGTGAAAAATTTAACGATTTCCTTGTCAATTTTACTTTCATCAAAAGTTTCTGAACTTCCTACATCCGGAAAGTTCATAGGTTCAGAATGTTGAATCTCTCTGTAAATGGTTGACCATGTTGCCCAAAACTCATCACCATCGCAATCAGATCCTGCCATTTCATCAGCATGAGGACGAGGACCATCAACAGGGAAAACAACACAATCACGGATACCATGTAATTCTGGTATATCAACAGCTTTCAATTCTAATACATCACCCGGATCCATACAAGGAAATTTAGTGACATTAACTTCAGCAGTCAAAGGTTTATCCGAATCACTTGGGAAAATGAAAACTTGTCCATATTTCAATAACCCTTTTCCTAGTCCATTACTTTTCGACGTGGCATCGGATAGGAACTTTTCTGTCGTTTCATCAAAAAACAACGATTTCTTTGGGCCTGCAGGCGTCGAGTAAATTAGTTCATCATTTTTATCGAAAATCTTGATCAAGTTGGAATCCGGATCATCACTGTCACTTGTAGGCACAACTACATAAGGTAAATAATAAGTTGCAGTTGGGTCAGCGACCCCAAACAATGTTCGAGCAGTGTTGAAATCTAATGGGATTCGAGCCTTTTGTTGAATAATATCAAGACCATGGTGGAAAACAAGCTGAAGAGAATTTCGGAAAAAGTAGTCTCCAAGTAGATTATAGCCATTCGAAGCTAATTTTTTATGGTCAATAAACCGATTTAAACAAGAAAACATTGTCAAAGCCTTAGAAGCTTTTATGGGACAATCGAATGAACCAATTAAATCTCCGATTGCATTGGAAAGTATTTCACCGAAGACATTGTTAGATAATCCAATCTGATTCAATATTGTGACCAAAGGTTTATTCAGATAAGCTTGACGTCGATCAGCGATCTTAACGATTCCAAGTTGACCAGGCTTCGAATCAATTTTTCGCATACCTAAAAGAAGAAACCATTAGTTAAATTGGTCGATTGATTGTTCAATTTTGGACTTACTTTCTCTCAGCACGATGACTTTCCCTTTTAACTTTTCACCCAAACTAATCATTCCTTTACATCCGAAATAGCGAATCTGATAAGCTGTTGGCATTTTCATTTCTTTATCCGGATTCACCTTAATTGCACCTTTCGCTTTCAACTCTGACCAAATATATTCAGCGAGCTGAGGGGACATGAGACCACAGCCATCGGTGAATGTGTATGGATTCTTAGAATCAGGATGTTCCCCGCCTTCAATATCTTTGGTGTATCGAACTTCAACATCTTTCATGTCAATAAAGGCCATAGATTGAGTGAGACTAAGACCATCTCGAGCTAATTTCTTCGAGATCCCTTTTGCTTTGCACGAACCAATTTCCTCTCTAATTTTCGCTGCATCACGGCCCATTGTATCCTCGGCATAAAGTACCAAACCATGATCACGAAGCTGTGATGAAGAAGCACCAAAAATACGATAATTTCTACCGGCAACATTGAGGCTTGGTAGAAGACGAGCACCAATACATTTTCTAAGAAAATAATATCCTGGCGATGGAAGTTTAGCTTCAGGATCTGGCGATTCTCGACGCTTCTTTTCCGCATCGATATCTTCTTGATTTCGAGTGACAGCAAATCCTAAATCACTCATATCCTCATCTCTAAAACTGACTCTCAACACGTAGTCTTTATCCGCAGCCTCAAGGAATTGCGATGATTGAAACGTCAATTCTGGTAAAATTAGTTTTCTCGTCGGGGTTAATATAACTCGTCTCAAAAGTTTCACGCACGAACTGGATGAAGATTTTATGTCTTTTATTGATTTCCATTCTTTGGCTACTTTTTTGAAAATCACTTTCAATTTCATCAGAGCGAAATCTACGTTTTTGTAAAGATACTCATAGAAAAGTCTATTTAGCGCAAAGACCAACTTTTCATTATCGTTACTTTCAATCAGATCCTTAATGAAGCTGATAAAATGATCAATTTGATTGTTCACAGTTAAATCATCTTGGAAGGCATTTGAAACTGATTGAATACTTTGAATGGCATAAAGTACTTCGAAGGGAAAATGGCCAATCGGTAGATCAACAGGTTGATGCTCGATGACTTTGATAAAACCAATTGAAACTCCCAATTTTGAGTAATGACGCCAAATAAGAAATTTAGACACAAGGTCAATAAAATGCGTTCGATTATCATCGGGTGGAAGATGCAACACGAAAGTAGAACTTTTTCCAATACAATCAGACGAAATATATTTACAATCGTACCAACGAGTCCAAAATCCTGTACCTGATTTGAAATACTGCTTGAAACCCGGACATGAATAATAACGATCATAGTCGAATTTATCAAATTTGCTTTTCATCATATCAATTTTCTTAGGATCCAAGTCTTCGGTGGCAATGAAAATCTTTGGTTGATAAGCTAAACGAAAGAAAACACTCGTACCAGAGACTGACCTCGAAACGATTACTTGCTTAATTGACTTGAATTCGAAGGAGAGTTTAAATTTACGAGTTCGATCCGATTCGATATTAAACTGAAAATCCATCATTCGTTGAATATATTTAAGGCTAGCGAATGTACACTGACTTGGCGCCCCTTTACCACCGAGAGTAATAATAGATCGCCCATTAGGTGCCTTGGTGAAGCTTTTGAAATGTTCAACAAATTTGGTTCCATTGATGATATTCCCGAAACTGAATCCACTGATAATTATTTGTTCTAAATTCTTACTAGAACAAGAACGGAAACTATCCAAGTTTACGAAAGGTTCGTCGTCCCCTTTGTTTAATTTCCATAGGAAACCAATTTTTCTAGAATGAGCATCAGATAGATCAACATCTCCATTGGGTTGAACGTTTATGGACAAAGGAATCACAGCTAAAGAAAAGATTAAACCAGAGATAATATAACGAACAGGATATTATAAAACAGAAGATGAAGCCTAAAGAGTATCCCTAATAACGGACATTTTGAAGGATTAGGATGATAAACAAATGAAGAGACTCAGGTCTTCTTACATCAAATAGAAAATTCTATTCAATGTGAAGGGCAAATAGAAATTGAAACTCACCTGTTGATCTTGATAAGCAATTGATTGTATTTTCCAAACGATCTTCTGATTGATCCACAGAAATGGATCCTTCCCATAGACCGACATAAGATTCACCTTGAGTTTTCTTATCACTTTGGTACTTCTTTTCTGATGGACTAATCCATTCTTGTCCCACTTGTACAGAGAATTAGTACCAGAGAGGCATTTCAACTGAGCTTTTGGGCAATTTATTTTAATCAATAAATTCCTTAAAATATTTTCGAAAGAAACATTTAAATGTTTCTCGTCTTTAAAATCCGATTGGAAAACTTCAAGTGAAAATCCGATTCTCCATCTATCAGGTGAATTCGCATTGGGTGGGGCAGGAATAGACATTAAGCATATAATGTCGTTTTTAACATAAACAAATAAACTAAAATTAAAACAATTAATTAACTATGGAAGAGATAACAATCAAAAGAAACCTCGTTAATCACAACTAAAGGATCACAAGCAAAGAGTAATAGCAAGAGAGAGCACTTGGATGTAACCATCGATAAGGTTTATCTCATCTTAGGAAAGGATGAGATCAACAATTCGTTCAAAAACGTTAATTCAAAGCCTAAGAGAACGAGAATCTAAATCAAAGAAAGATTTATCGATACATTCATAAGTGCTGTCTAGAAAGATTCCACATGAGAGGGAAAAAGTAGAAGGGAAAAGAATAAAAAAAGAAGCGCGAATTTCGATTAACTTTAAAGTTTCGAAAAAAATTAATCAAAATTTTAATTGTTCGTATTTCCAACAAAATTGATTCTATTTATTTAGTGGATTAAATTGTAAAATTTTATTCGACTTAATTAACATTCAAATCATCTCTCCTAAACAAACAATACAACTTTTCTCTTTCTTTCTCTCTCTTCACAAGATGGAGCGATTTTCAATTTAAATTCTTAAAACAATTAACTGATTGTTTCCAACTCCTTTGGTTAGTTTGTTGTGCTTTTAACGATTATGATTAAAAAGATATTAAATTACTCAATTTGAATCACTCATAATTAGGAAAATTATTACTCTTTGTATAATCTTAAATTCATTGTATACGTAATTACATTTTGACTAAGACACGTAATCCTTAATCGCCATTAAATTGTTGATTAATATCTAATCATTTGAACGTTTTAGTCTACCTCTTGAAATGATTAACAAGTAACTGTTAATACTTTATTGTTTCGGTAATTAAATCAATTAAGCTTGTAACACATCATCTTAACTTATTTATCTTAATTGTTTACACACGAAATGAGAACTAATTAAATTGTTGAAGACAAAAATTGTAACAGTAAAAAAATTATTCAATCGATAAGCAATTAAATTGCTATTCCTTTTAGTAGAGAATAACAATCGATTAAAATTGATCAATTTTCGTTTTTTACAGTCAATCTTATCCATCTTCTTATGGTCAGTGGTCGAAAAAGTTTCTGAGAAAATCGATCCAAACAGAACTTTATTATTATTATCATATTGAAATTTCCCTGAAATTTATCAGGAAAACTGATCAGACCTTCAATGAGATGCTATAAATAGCATGATAATGAGTACAGTTTGTTGAGAGATTTGCTGAACAATATGAAAAGAGCGGTTTATTCAATTGGATTTGATTTCTGTTGTCAAATTTTCTCGACTAACTGTAGTTACGAATGAAGTTGTCATGGTGACAGTTTAGATTTGATAAGATTGATGAAAATGGATAAGGAATGTAAACAATGTAAGATGAATCTTGATCCTCTTAATCAACTTTGATTAACACTAAGAGACTACCAGTTGATTATCATCAATAATTTGTAATTACTTGTGTGTGTCTCATTTTATCCTTTCAGTGATTAACAAATGATATTCTGAGGCCACTGCCGAGAGATTCAAATCTAATCATGATCATCATTTTAATGAAGATGCTCATTGACGATCCTTTTGATTTAAAGTTTCACCTTAACCAATATAATCATCATTTACCATGATCAACATTCAGAATTGTGATTGAAATTATAATCTTTTCCGTGTTAATTGTAATTAAATCTTATTGTTTTACTGAAACTTGTTGAGCTCAAAGTGTTTAACTGTGATCTTGTCAACATTTTGTGAATATTTAATTTTAAAACACTCAATTGGATATCTTATTGTTAACAATACGTAATTAAAAATGGAATTGATTAAATTCGTTAAGACAAATAAATATAAAATCTTTAAAACTTTATTAACTTATTTGACCTTCGCTGGTCTTGGAGGGGTCAACACTTTGATGGGCAGTTCGTTACTCGATCTTCAGATTAAAGTTCAAACCTCATTTTCGACAGTCTCGAAACTTGTTCCAGCTCGTGCAATCGGCTATGTACTTGGAGCTTCATCTTGTAAGTAATTTTATCTTGTTATCAACTGATTGATTGAAACACTAATCTAATTACTGATAATCCATAGGTGGTCTCTATGAGAAACGTATAGATGATTATCTAATCCTTTCAATATCTAATTTTATTGCTGGTCTTTTCCTAATTCTTGCTCCATGGTTCAATATTATCGAATTGATATTTGCAAGTATTATCATCTCTGGATTTGCCCAAGGGGTTTTCGATATCTGTATGCACAATTTTTACTTAAATTCTAAATCTCAATTTGATACCAATCATATTTGATCGTATTTAATTTTTTCTACATAATAATATCCTTTTTCTCTAGACTGTAATGTGATCATCTTAAGGATTTGGGGTAAACATGGAGTCAATTGGCTTCAGGTTCTTCATATGTGTTTCGGTGTCGGTGCTTTGATTACACCGATTTTTACTCGACCTTTTCTATTACCTAACACAGAATCTGATGATACAACTGTAATTCTAGCAAATGGCACCAGCGTCAATTCAACCCAAACTTCTCAATATACACCTGAAGATGTAAAAGTTCAATATTCATTCATGATTGTTGGTGGAATGCTGTTTATCGTTTCAATTCCATTCTTTTTCTGTTACTTACATGATCGAAAGACAAACAGTGAAAACTCAGCTGAACCAGAAGCTGAAGAAATTCAATCAAATGCAAGCACAACCAAGAAGGTTTGTGCAGTTATAATGACCGGAATTCTCGCTAATTTCGCATTTGGAACTGAAGCTGTAGTGGGTAAGTATTCTGATAATCATTTCAAATATACTATTGGTCTATTAATATTTACTATATTTGTATTCATCATAAACTAATAGGTAATTTGTGTACTGCATTCGCGGTTAAAGCTGATATAAAGATGGACAAAAAGACGGCGGTTTTAATAGCGACAGTATTTTGGTCCATGTTTTCATTTTATCGATTAATCTTTATTCCAATGACCTTATTTATCAAGGAAGGTCGTCTCTTTGTGTTGAATCTTTTCATAATACTCGCTGGTACCTTTGTTTTAGTACCAAAAGCGGCATCTCAATCAACATTCACTTGGATTGCATTTATTTTACTTGGAATTGGATATTCACCAGTATTTTCAATCTCTTATGGATCATTGGGAAAATACTTTCCAATCACAAACGCAATGACTTCTTATATCTTTGTCAATGGTGTTATTGGTGAAACCATTCACACTACAATTTTATCAAAATTCATTGAAACTAAACCGATAATTTTTACTTATTATCTTGGGGCAATGTCCATTCTTTATGTGATAATTAGTTAGCTCTTCCTTATTATTGTAAAAAAGTGATTGGTAAGCCCAAACCTAAAGAAACCAACGAAATGAAAAAGTTTTAATATCTAATTTTATCCTAATCAAAGACCAAACAATCAAAGGTTAACAATTAACCAAAGAGAAAGTGATCAAACAATTATCATAATATTATTTTCAATGTATCTAGTTTTTAGTGATTATTTAACTGGAACAATCATAAACTATATTATCAATTAATAAAATTATACTACTATTAATAATCAACAAACAATTACAACATTAATAAGTGAAAATATCATAATCACTACATTTTGAAAACTTTTTGATTTTCCAATTGAATTCAAAATCTCTAATCAACTCATCAAAATTCAGCTAATCTTACACTTAAATCATCTGTCAACACTTAATCATTATCTTAATCTCTTGACATTTTATTATTAACAATAACTAATTATAAGATTAATAATAGAAAGATTCATATTCTACATTTAACTGTTCAAATTACTATGGTTTATCTCAGCAATTTAGATAATAGAAAAGAGGAGAATAGTGAATTTTCATTAATCAGTTAATTATTTACGTTGATTGGTAAAAAAATTAAATACAGAGTTTTCATATTGTAATTTCCATGAGTATTTAAATATATTCATTAAGATTCAAGTATCAGTTTCATTCAACTCAAACTGATGAAGTTTCAACATCATCAAATTTTGGTTCAATTTTACTTTCAATTATTTATCTTGTTCAAGCTCATTCAATTTGTACTATTAATACATGAATTGGAACTTTATTATTCAAGTAAAAATAAGATAATTGTATCATAAAAACCGATAGCACCAATAAACCAATAGTTATATGAAGTTGCAGAACAATTGTCACAGATATTAGATTGACAATTGAATAGGATTTTTTTTCAAATTCACTTTTAGCTATTATCATAAACTCAGCCAATATTGGTACGATTGAAATAAAAGTTTTATAAAGACAAAGTTCAAATGTCCAGAAGTGAAAACGAAACTTTTTCCAGACTAAAAACAATCAAAACTTTTCTTTGACTACAAAATCATAAACCTCAGATGATCAATTGATTTGATAAATATCAGTATAAAATCTTATGAAGAAAATGCTTCAAATTTTCTGTAGACTTTGATAAAAGGTCGAATTTCATTAATCGATAATTGAACATAACGCATGTCTTTTAATTTGGAAGATTTTTTCATCATCATCCTTGGTGAATCTCTCATCCTTCATCCTTTCTTTTTTCTTCTTGTCTCTTATTCACTTCATATGGCCCTGCATTTATTTACGAGGCTCTTGGAAGGAGCGATCAGTTTACCTTGATTCTTGTGGCAAAAAGTTCAGCTTCTATGAGATTTTACTTTGGAATTGTTAATCGTACCAACTCATAAAAAAACAATACAACTTCAAGTTCAAAAGTTGTTACATTAATTTATCGAATCAGTAGTCGAAATGTTTGAAGGAGCAGTAAAAGGTAAGAGACTTTTACTTTTCTAGTATTTATTTGTATAGTTGACGGAATCCATTCAAATACCATAATTATATTGAACATTGTTCTTATGTTGAAATCACTCAGTGCTCTCAAATAACCATCGTCGTCTAGAAATCAACCATCACCAAATATATAATCAGATCAATTGATTGGTGTAATTGACATTGTAATTAATGCTAATCAGCTCGTTGGAATCGTTTTCCTATTAATAATCATCATTACTCAGAAAAAAAGTTTTCTGTCATGTATCTTCTGAATTGGTTATGTAATCTGAACTTTTGATATGATAAAGTTTTGTCTACATTTGTAATATTAAGATGATTTTTTTTATAAGAAACTAATAAAAATTTAATGAGTTTTCTTTCCTCAAAATTATTGTTAAATGAACAATTATCAGATCAGTAAACAAGATTAGTACAAATAGCTGTTAATCTAAAGGATACTCAAAGTTCAGCTGATTCATGATTAACCCTTGGGTCTTTAATAATGATCTCACCAATAGCACTGCACTCCAAGTCCTAACCTTGTTGTTAGAACAATATCATTTTAATATGTATTTAAAAGTTTACCTCGGATAGAATAACAAAATTCAGTCCTTTTCTTTGGGGTCAATTCTAAATACTTGTCAAGACTGACCTCAAACTTACCTTTTTTCTCCATAGGGCTCAGAAAAATTTTGTATAGTTTAGAAGTTAAAACCCATAGAGCTCCATTATTTTTTTATCGATAACAGAATGTTTAAGTTCTTCTCGTTTCGATTGAAATTGAACGGATTAATACAATCAAATTATTTTTTTTGACAACTCTATACTAATCTCCCAAACTTGAGCAATCGGTTTATGTAAAAATTAAACAGATTAACTTATTAATTATCAAGATATTTAAGAATTAAACTGTCCAAAAATATATTGCCAACCCTGTAGTACTTTGTTTGATTAAACGTAGAAATCTTGATAAAAAATTCCCGATAATTTAACATCAACACTATTTATCTTCAATATTAATCATATGTCTTTATTTAAGACTAACGATATTTAAATTACATTCAATCAGGGTCGTTGTTAATGGTTATATTGATTGTGATGATTTTTTCTGACGAAAAATTCAGTTTGACTGAAAAAATAGCAAAATTCTGAAACCTGCTTACAGAACTTTGAGCTTATCATGTTCGTTTTTGAACTAACAGAAAATTTGGAATCTTTTTTGTTTCCAAATTTGCAAAGTCGATTTCGTTTGTAAGGAGATGAAAATTTATCATGAATATTTTTTAAATTTTCGCAAATTATTTCAAAAAATTACGTGACTGCTTAACTTACAAACGAATCATGGTAATGAGGTGAATCTGATAAGATTGTTGAGGTTCTAAGAACATTCACATTAAGATAAAAGAAATCATGAGACATTCCGTTAGATTTATACTGAATATTCACAGGTTCAGTTTCCCGATTCTATGAACCCATGAACCATGATTGAGCGATACAAGATTCAAAAGGATATGCTTATAAATGACAAAAGTGCAGATTAATGATCATGTAAGCAATTCACTTTTCAACAGTACCATGAAAGACCAACATCAATCATATTCAAATATCTTGTCATCTTAATTAATTACATGGATTATTATTGGAAAAGCAATTAAGATATAAAACTTGAATTCATGTTAATGTTTATCACATTTTAAATTGATATACATCACTTTATGAAAATCGTTAAGATTATCATTATTTTTTCACTTGAATTACTTGACATGATGATGAAAACTTTCACTCTCATGATAATCATTTGATGAAGATGAAAGTTCAAGATGTTATCAAGAGTGATTGTTTTGGTTTCTTTTTATACTTGAACCATGAAAACATTGAAATTTACCATGAAATCTCATATAAAGTTAATATTTTCAACACAATTTTCTCGATGCTGAATTTGCTCGAATGAGCTAAAAACTTTTTCAAGGTTATCAGGTAATGGTGATAACATTGTAACAGTTTTCTATTGTTTTCTGGCCAATGTTCAATCGCATGTTTTTGCAAACAGTAATTACCTTTTGACCTGCAAAACTAATTCAAGAGCCTCAAAGTTTATTATAAATGTTTACTGATCAATCATGTTACCTGAAAATGTACGAATTTTATTATTACAAGGATTACATTTGCTTTCGTTTTAGAACTTTTTTGCTCAACATGAGAATTTTAGTAACAAAACAACAACATAATTATTTACAGTCGAGTTAATTACCATGATGTAAATACGAAAAAGAAAATACCAAGCTCAATATTATCGTTAATGAATTATCATGAAAGGTAATGAACCAAATAAATGACACTATTTTTGCATTATTCACAATAATAATGCTACACAATAAATGATTGTTATTGTGAACAGAAAAAAATATCAACTATAATATTATAATAGATTGACAATGTTTTAGTTTTCTCGTTGAAATCATTCAAGTTTAGTTATTATTATTTAATCAACACAATGTTCAAATGTTTCCTATTATTATTCTTAACATTGAAATTAATTATTCCCATTAATCACCTATTATAATTTCATGATAAAAGGTAACATTTGTATATTGTATTAAAGGTTTTCGATAATTTTTATTTCTATTCAATATCCTTACTAAAGCATTTTACAAAGCATGTAATCATGCAGACTCATGAATTATCATGTTATTATCACCCTGTGATCTTTAGCCTATCCTTTTGATAACATTAAATTTTAATATCTTTGTTATGGATAAATAATTTAATAAAGAATTGGAAACTTATAAATAAATTGATAATTATACCTTGGGTTTAAGTTACATTGTTTGAATATCTAACTGATTATCAAGTTTATCCAGTTGAGTATTCAGTTTACTTCTTACTCTTCCCATCAGAGAATTTGTTATAAAAACTTTTTTCCTTCTGTATTTGAAAATTTCATTGATATTTGAACACATTGATATTTGCAATATATGAGATTCCCGTTGTGATAACATTGATAGGATATTGGATACATATAAACATTATCATGTGTCTAAACCACGAATACATTTATTGTTCAGATTGATCCATTTCCGTGTTACTGTTATTATAATGTGTAAGGAAAAAAGGACCATGAGATACAATGAAAATCAAGAATGAGCAAATAAATGGACATTTTTATTCACTCGAATTCAATGTTGAGTTGACTGAACCAACTCCTTAACATCTATATTATATTAGTCAGAGCAATAAATCGGGAAATGTGTATCAATTGTAATAATTATCAGAATACATGTATTATGTATTTATACTGTTTACAAATGAATTGCACCAAAATTTCAGGTAACAAATATAATCATTATAAATAATATTAGCGACGTGTTATCACGCCTATTGCCTATACATTCTTTTGGCGATGAATAAGGTATGAGTGGTAAAGTTTGGCAGTAAGTTTTTCTAATCAAAATTAAGACAATTAGACTAGACACATTGGCACCTTAATTAGGTTTAATTTAACGGAAATTTAGTGGGCATTTTTTTGATACTAAAATAAAAATTAGTTGACATTTAGTTCATGTCAAAAATGGTTCTTAATCTAAGTGATCGTCGTGTTCTTATCGTTAACTTTGTCAGTGAACATCCAGAATTGTCTTTATATGAATGTGCCAATAGATTGAAAAGTTTTAATATACCATCGAGGTCAGTCTACAGAGTTGGGGCAAAGGTCAGAAATGGAGAAAATATAACTAATTACTCTAATTGTGGCCGAAAACCGACAAAAATGACGGCGCGAAAATTGAAACAATTTAAAAAATTAGCCGTTGGTTGGACTGGCTCTCAGCGAGAATTGGCCGCTAAATTTTATCTGTGACAGATACTGTCGGGAATTATTAGAAAAATTTAAAATAAAGGCCTGGAAACGACGGGATAGCCCGAAATCTACCCCTGAACAATTCACCCGCCAGATGGCGCGTTTAAAAATAATGACGAACGAATTGGTTCCCGTCAATGGCCTAATTTACATCATAGAGGATGATGAAAGTTACTTTTCCTTATCAGGGAAAGGTAATAAGTATTTTTTGGCAAGTTCCCCCGAAAATTTGAAAATTAGAAAAAAAAACTAAACCAAGGGTCAAGTTCGAAGTTCGGTTTTACGTTTGGATCACAATATCGAAAAAAGGTCACTCTGATCCATTTTTTGTTCCCGCTAATTGTGCTGTAAATTCAGAAATTTACAGAAATCAATGTATAGAAAAAAGATTAGTGCCCTTTATTACCGAAAATTACCAAAATCATCGGCATTTATTCTGGCCAGATGGCGCTTCTTGCCATTATCATAGAGAAACAATTAAAACTCTCGAAAAATTCGAGGTCGAATTTGTTAAAAAATCAGAACCCACCTAATGTTCCTCAGCTAAGGTGCATCGAGAAATTTTGGGCTCATTTGAAACAAAAAGTCTAGCAGAATAATTGGTGTACCACTAGTTTCGAAGCTCTCAAAAAAAGAATCAAATTGAAATTAACCGAATTTGACCTCGAATATTTCGAAAGACTTTTCGAAAAGGAAAATCAAAAATTGCCCAAGCCTCTGTAGAAGGTCCACTTTCCGTAATTTTCAACAATTAAAAATAATTTATTAATTGTATTGTTCTTATTGTTAATTATTTAATTACTGCCAAACTTTACCACTCATACCTTATTATAATACATTATATTTACTTTATTGATCGAATTAAGTTTATTTATATCATTAACTATCATCATTTTGTTTTCGCTGTATTTACACTGTTGATAATGCAATACAGACAATAAAGGTAAATCTATCCAGGCTATTTGGATACACACTTACAATGATTTCCAATCCTTATCTTGTTACAGTAGTAATGAAACCTCCGCTTCTGACTCACCCAAAAACGGAAGTGGGTGAAAAAGTTCTGAAAATTTTTCATTAAAGATCAAATTAACCGCCATTTTAATTTCACTTTAACGTTGCCTAGCAATCTTTTACTAATG